TCCTTCTCAGAGTTGTATCTCTGCTCTGACATTGCAAAAAAACATTTTTAATAGAAAATAAAGAACTGCTACCTAAGGCCTTTCTCTTCCTAAAACAAAATGCTGCTCTCTAGTGGAATGTGATTATTTAATCTAGTTACGTTAGAATGAATGTTTAAAATATGTCACTTTCTAAGTTATGGGAAACCTTAATTCATTTTCACAAGCACTGACATACTAGAGTAGCTGGTTTGTTTTATTTCAGTCTTTCAGATTGTCCTTTAGATTTTGGCATTTATTCCTCAAGATAAAATTGCTATGCCATTAAATCAACACTGTAATCACACCTGAATAACTTGCTAAATATTTGTGTGTTGTAACACTTGCACATTTCCTAACTGATCCCTTTTAATTGTTCTGTTCTTAGACAATATAAAACTAGAGACCAATTTTTCTTTTTTTCTTTCCATACGTTTAATTATTGACCGAGTTTTCTAGACCAGAATATATATTTAGCTGTTTTGAAAATACAGTATTAATCAGTTATGTTCACAGCAGAGTTTAGGCACTTAGGCCGATACAATGAAAATCTATATATTATTTGCTCCGGGTTTCTAAAGACATTCCTGTCTCCAAACACAATCATACCAAAACTCACTACAGAAATTATCTATTGCAGTAGCATAGCTCCTTCAGCTTATACTAAAATGGTGACAAATAGTCAGGCATGATAAGGAGCATCTGCCTCGGAGGAACCAAGTTTTATCCTACTTGTAGTTAGTTCATAAATTTCAGTACTCATTTGCTTTCCCCTCCCTCTCCCTTTTTTTAACGTATAGGTAAAGCAGAAAAGGCATATTCCTCCATACTAAGTTTCTTTAAGTTATGGAGGAAAGCAGCACAGTTCTCTGTTTGTTCCCAGCCTTCCATATTCTGTAAAGAAACTCTTCCTATCAATGTGCCTTGGTTTTATCTTTCTGCAGATAAGGGGCATGTGTAAAGCAGTTTCCCGACAAACATACTGAGAAAGTACTTTATTACTTTCTTATGAAATGCCTTTTCAAAAGAATTTTGCTTTCTGCTTACTGGTTTTCTAATTAACTTTAACTACCATTTTTGCCTACACACTTCTACCTTAAGTACTCTTCACATGAAATACTAATACTATGGGGAGAAAAAAGCAAAGGGTATTTGCAAAAGAGTAAAGATTAAGTGGTCATAGATCACTAACCAGTTGAACTTCTTCTGTAACAAGCGATAATCCTATCAGGTCTATATATACTCTTCTGTCAAAATTATATAGATTATATACCTTATAGAAAAGTATTACAAAAGCAAGAACTCTCCAGGTCAACTTGAATCACCAGCATCTGAAGCCCTATGTGGCACAGGACACAGCTGTGGCCCCTGCACGTTTGCTCATCTTCCTCGACTGTTCCTCGCTCCCTCTTGCCATCCCTACAGCTGTCACAAATATATTCCACAGCAAATGCCTAACCCTCCTGCAGTATCCTCAGGAAGGCTTTATTTAGCTTCCCCATTGGATTTCCTCACACGGTCCTCTCCCTTCACTTATGCTTCAGCTTGCTTGCTGCTCTGTCCCCATAGCTGGAAACACGCTGCCCTCACCATGGAGCTCAGGTGATCCCTCGATACCAGCGCTGACTGCAGCAGTTACTGCAGCACTTGATGTTTTGACAGGCCTTCAGTCTTTTGCATTTATGCCACCAGACCATCAGGTTATTGTCTATGTTCCAAACGGCATGACCAAAGGTGTGTGTTTTGTTTTGGGGCCAGAAACATACAGAAGTTTTCCCCAGCCACAAGTTTCTCCTGAAGTATTTTTAGAAGTAATTACTCACCTACTCCTGCTGTTAGGCAGGAAACTGCAGCGGGAACTTTTCTTTCACTCACTACAGACAAAATCCAGAACTACTTAAAGAGTACAGAGAAAGAATACACCTGCTTTGTCATTTGCTTAAGAAAAGTAGAGAACTGTTCTCAAATTTTAGTGAAAGTCACATAGTATGTAGTGTGTTCATTAGACCTCATCAACAAACAATAGCCAAAGATCAGTTTACCAATAATGACTTACCAAGGAAAGTTTCTAGGCCTGACAACTATGGAAAACTTTACATGATTTAAAAGAGATGAAAAATAGGGTTAAATTAGAAACCAGGGTATTTATAATTAATTCCATCACTATCGTGGACCAATCCTTGCTTTGTTAAATGTGGACCATCAGCAGTACTAAAATGAATCAGGGTTTCCCTCCGAGGCCTCCCACTTGCAGTTGGCCTTGTTGCCTGACTGCAGTATCATTGGTTATATGGTTCATACTTGAGATTCTTCAGCAACCTTACTATTCTCAGTTCAATGACTACATTCTGCAGAAGCTGGATGACATTTACATTTTTAAGAGCATCTCGTGAACAAATTTGCATGATAACACCTAATTGCCCCCATAACCTCATGAGTAAAGATTTTAACGTTATCTTCCAAAGTGTTTTTACTGTAATTAGTAACCAAACAATTCTGAGACATGAAAAGTAACTCATAGTGCTGCTTTTCCTTGCAAAGACATTTTGGCGGTCTGAGCTGTTCCGTCTACTACTTCCACGCTATCTGCATCTCCTGTTATAGAGCACTTTTTCAGAAATATTTTTTGAAAATTTTTATTAACTTAGTATTTAATTTCAATTAGCACACTCATTTGAAGACGAAAAACTGTGCAAAATAATATTGATTCCTTTAAAAACGAAATCTGCTCTACAGATGATGGAAAAAGTAATAAAAATGTAAATTTTAATGAAATATCCTAAAGTTTAATTTATTTGACCATTAAAATTGGCCCTTAAATTAGCTGCTTAAGAGTGAAATCCAACTGCTAGTTTGCATGCTGAATGTACAAAAAGCCCAAACAATAATTGCTCATCCAGAGTTTTGTTATAAACAATCTATTTTTAGCTAAAATACTTACGAAGTACCTTGCATGTTAAGAGGGAAACATATGTTTATACTTACTTTACTAAACAAGATAGGTTTTATAGTACATATTCATTTATTTAGGTTCATTTAGGTTGTAAATATTTGAGATTTAAGTAAGTATTATGCGGCTGACATGTTCCCAGGTACTGTACTTGCAAGCCATCACTTACAGCTTTTTCCAGTGGTGCCCTATAAACCTGAAATATACTTCAATGTTAAAGATGAATTGTGGGAATTCTCTGGAAGAAAGCAAACTCAAAGGCCTGAAAAACTGTATCTTTTCTTCAATTCAATCAATCAATTACAAGGACACTCTACTTTTTTTTTCTTCTCCTTTGATAAAGAACACTACATACATCACAAAGTGACATCACTTCAAAAGTACAGCAGCATTACATTAAACCCTCAGTGATGCCTCCTTCCAGCTACCAGAAACTTAATGTTTGAGGAAAAACCCCGGAACTCTCAACTGTCTTCATAACTGAGCAAATGAAGGAAGAGGAGGTTGAGTCATCCATAAATTCATTTACGCACAAATATAATGCATCAGCAAACAAACCCAAGGTTTACATTTTATTTCTGCCTCTTTTTATTGTTTTATTAAATAAAATTTTAACAGATGTAATTTACTGAATACTGTTAAGACATACAGCAGAGGAAAACCAGCATTTAAATAGTTGCATTTCACTGTACTTACAAAAATGAGGTAGCTACCCATGCTCATATGAACCTCACTGAATTATGCCTTCAGAAGAATCTTTATTCATAAAAACACCAAGCACTTTCATTAGAATTTCCTGGGATAAAAATCAGGAAAGTTTTATGTACTTTCTCTCCATTTGGCCCCTACCTGTTGTATATTTACATTTTTAAAAAGAAACAGAACTAGACTTCTAGACAGACTTCCTAGTCAGTAAGTAGCAATCTAGCTGAGAACACAAAGACAATTCAAAGGTACTCTGAAATTTTTGTTGTTAAAAGGAAAATTGCAAAATACTTGCGGTTTGTAGAACAGATACTAAATAAACTACACTCCCAATTTTTACCCTAATAAAAGCTCAGCAGAAGTATATGGTAGTACCTAATCCAAAATATAAAATAATTTGAGAACAGCTATGTCGAATTTCACATCAGGTCTTTTCTGCATGGAGGATGAATTAAAAAAAACAAAAACAAAACAGAGAGGAACGTAAGAACAGTGGCATCTTAGACTTAAAACAACAGGATTTACATTCTCTTAATGTAGCCTGACACTTTTATTTTGGTTGCTACCTGAAGACAAACTGCAGCACACACTGACTCATTTTGAAATGCCAGATTATTCAGCAGCTTGTTTTCATTTCACGTGTGTACAACTTCAGCTATCTCTACTTTTTTCTCTCCAACCTTGACCCATGTTTTTAACACACTGAATATCCAAATCCTGATGGCAACAAGGATGAAGATACTTTCTCTCCATAGCACTAAAGTAAATTTAAAATACGATATTCAAATAATTTAAAATATACATTCAGTCTGAAAACTGTTCTAATGGGCTACAGAGTAAAATTTTCAATCAAATGATTCCATGTCCATGCACAAAAACAGCTTCCCTCCTACTTGCACTTTACATAGTAAAATAAAACTAGGTAGTTTGGAGAATCCTGCTCACGTATGAAACTTGCCCAAAACTAAGACTGCTGTACATTACAGATTTCAGCAAAATAACTATTATAATATGAGAAGCTATTTATTTTTGTAATGTTTTTTAAATACAGATCTTCTCAGAACTTAGTGACAGTTTTAAAGTCTGCGGCTTCCTGTACTTGCTCCCCATAGTAGAATCCTGGGGGGAAAACCATGCACTGGAAATTAAAAGGGGGGGGGGGGGGGGGGGGGGGGGAGAAAAAAAAAGACAGACAAGCAAAGAGCAAATATTTCAGATATATTTAACTGCACTGCAATTTTAATGCAGTATGGATGAATCAGATCCTTAGTTCTAGCTTTCTAAAATCCCCTTCTCATTCTCA